GGATGATGAGATGACTAACAAAGTTAATTAATCAGATTAGCAGGTAGCAAAATTATGAGACACTCACAAAACAATTAAAATGATCACACCTAATTAAACTCACCAACAACTTGTGGTAGTTCCACTTAACAACTCATTGATTTAGGTATCAGCAATTGCACTTGCATGGTCTCTCAATTACTTCCACAATAATTAGCAAGTTGTCACGAATACCATTAATTTACTGGCTGAAAAGAACAGAAAAAAATATACATTCAACAATAATTCATATACAGGTTCATCAATATTTAGCGTTACAACTTTCAGTGGTTAGAACTATGAAATGAAACACAATTGTGAATGTTTGAAAATGTATTTATGTAGGCAGAGGTTCAGAGATACAATTCCTACAATTTCATTCAATATGTCCACTATCTGCACCAATAACGAGTTGTAGACGCTTAGAGAAAGCCTTACACTAGTCATGAATGACACTCTGCGGGATTTTGGCCCACTCCTTCAGCAGTTTGACCTCTAGGGCATCCAAACTGCTTTGGTGAATGGTCAACACCTTGCTCTCAAGGTATGACCAGATCCCAAAATCCAGAGGATTCAGATCGTGTGATGAATTGGGCCAGTCATCTTTGGTAATGAATTGGGGAACATGCTTGGACAGCCACTCCTGAGTTGATTTGGCCCCATGGGATGGTGCAGAATCCTGCTGGAACAACCAGGGGTGTTTTTGGAAGTACCGTACTTTCATGCCCAGGGCAACAATGCACCAACAAGGATGGCATCTTGATAGTTCTTCTGATTTAATTTCACTCCTTTGTCAACAAAAAAGAGGACACTCCTTGAGGACTCTGTTACATCTGCCCAGACCATCACTGAGGTTGGGCATTGCTTTCTAGTCTCCACACGGGATCCTTCTTCCCATTCTTCAACCAAATTCACTCATTTTGGGAGTTGAAGTGGTGTTCAACATTGAATATCTTCTCATCACTCAAAACGAGGTTTGGCTATGTGCCATCATGAATGCAGGAAAGAAGAATCTGGGATCTTTGGAGGCGTTTGTCAACAACTTGAACAGACAGTTGGTGTTTTATGACATGCTTGAATGGGGACAACTTTAGGTCCTTCCAGAGAACAGTCGACATGGTTCCATACAACACATTTAACTGTTTTGCAAGTGTATTGATTTTGAAAAAACAATGTAGCACTAATTATTGATGACCCTGTATAGAAAGCAGATGGTTGGGTGAAGAAAATGGGTAGATGCCTCCTGGCAACAGTGTATTAATATGCGTCAACATGGAAGTATAACTCCGTGATGATGGCAATGTGTACTAAATTTACCAAAGCATACTAAATTGCATAATATTAATATCACTCAATGGTCAATACATCTGCTTCCTAGTGAAATTTGTTTGGAAAATAGTGACAACATTTCTATCACATAAATTCTTTGTGATAATAAAATAAATCATTGCCTTGTTAGCTGATGTTCTTTATTTCTTCCTTGAAAAAAAAAATAATTTAGATTTATACTGGCTTTCCTGTCAATTACCGTTCAACCTTTAAAATTGCAAAACAAATTATTTTATAAAATGAGCTTTCATTGAAAAGCTACATAATTGACAATAATCCCCATAAACTTTTTATTTAAGTATTAAAATCACTTGTTTGCTTGAATTGCAAGTTAACCAGGAATTTAAAGGCAAAGAAAATACCACAAAAATTCACCATATCTTTATAAGAGAAAACGTTTCGGAGTCCAGCTCCATCATCAGTTCAAAACAGAGAATTCTGTTCAGAAATAGTTCAGACCTAGAAACACAAATAAATCAATTAGTAAAGTAAAATGCGCTAAAAATAAATAGATAAGACATGAAAATAATGCTAGTAAATGTAAACGGCCTATCTATTTACTATTTCAAGAGGAAAGGAGCTAGAAGCGGCATTCAGACTAGGCTTCTGTTTGAATATATACAGGGATTCTAAAATTCGTAGATCACTAACACCGGATGCGGAAGCTAGAATTTTGAAATCACTATCAGATACAGAGGTGTTGCACTGCTCGGCATGAACACGTACAGCAGAATGAGGTAAATGTGCAAGTAGGTTCCCTGTTCTATAACTCCTGCCCTTATGCTCAGCCAGCCTAGTATAGAAATTGCGTGCCGTCATACCGACGTACGCTGATGCGCACTGCGCACAACTATATCTGTAAACTAGTGATGATCGCATAAGAACAGGTAGGGTATCCTTATACCTGGAAAACAAGCCGATTCTAAAATTGTTAACCAGCAACACATGAAGATTTACATCCGGAAGATATTTGGCAAATAAAACTTTTAATTCCTTTGACATAGTCTCGGATGCGGGTCCAAAGTAGGGAAAAGAACAGTAAACAACTTTCCTATTGTCACACTTAGGAACGACTGCAGTATATTGCTTGGACATAAACATTTTAATTTGGATGAGCACCAGGTGTGATGGAAAGCCATTTTGTGAAAAGATATTGCGCAACAATTCAAATTCAGGTGTAGTACTAGTTGATCGCAATCGTTATAACAGTAGCATTACTAATCTGATAACCGACCCTTCTAAATTCAAAGAAATTACTGAGCCAATCGCTAAAATAGTTTTGAAGATAGAGGACAAAATTAATAATTTTCTACGAAAACTTAAAGATTCCGCTGTACTATCATCTGAAACATATTTTCAACTTCATGTTTCTGGCTCTGGCCTGGGTATCTTGTATGGTCTGCCCAAAATTCATTAACCAGATTTCAATGTGAAATTTCCATTCTGCCCAATTTTTGCTGCTTATAATACCCCTAGTTTCAAACTTGCAAAATTTTTGGTTCCGCTTTTGAACTGTCTTACAACAAACCAATATACTGTGGATAACACTTATATGTTTGTAGATCGCCTGAAGAGTTTTACCAATGTTCACGAATTTACTATGGCCTCTTTCTGAAACCATCGATATTTGTCTCAATTCATTGTTTAAAGATGTCAATGACCTTGTCATGGGTTTTAACTGCAAGTTTTTCAAATCTCTTCTTGAATTATCTGTGCTAAACTCAATTTTCGTATTTGCTGGCAAGTTTTACAGACAAGTTGACGGTTTGGGCATGGGACTTCCACTCGGCCCTACCTTTGCCAATATATTCATGTGTTTTCATGAGGCTACATGGTTGGCCAATTGCCCTCTTGATTTTAAGCCAATTTTCTATAACCGATATGTTGACGATACTTTTTTGATTTTTAAGCACCCCTCTCATGTGGGCCTTTTCTTTGACTATCTTAATCTCCAACATAAGTCTATCAAATTCACCATGGAGCTGAAATCAGACAATAGCTTGTCTTTCCTTGATTGCAAAGTTACCAAATTTAATGGCCGTTTCCAAACTTCTGTTTTTAGAAAATCGACATTTACCGGCTTAAGCACCAGCTTTTTTAGCTTTTGCTCCTTTCGTTTCAAGTTAAATGGGGTCCAAACATTGATAAACCGCGGCTATCGCATTTGTTCTACTTTCCTAGCACTATGTCAAAGGAATTAAAAGTTTTATTTGCCAAATATCTTCCGGATGTAAATCTTCATGTGTTGCTGGTTAACAATTTTAGAATCGGCTCGTTTTTCAGGTATAAGGATACCCTACCTGTTCTTATGCGATTGTCACTAGTTTACAGATATAGTTGTGCGCAGTGCACATCAGCGTACGTCGGTATGACGGCACGCAATTTCTATACTAGGCTGGCTGAGTACAAGGGCAGGAGTTATAGAACAGGGAACCTACTTGCACATCCACCTCATTCTGCTATACGTGTTCATGCTGAGCAGTGCAACACCTCTGTATCTGATAGTGATTTCAAAATTCTAGCTTCCGCATCCGGTGTTAGTGATCTACGAATTTTAGAATCCCTATATATATATTCAAACAGAAGCCTAGTCTGAATGCCGCTTTTAGCTCCTTTCCTCTTGAAATAGTAAATAAATAGGCCGTTTACGTTTACTAGCATTATTTTCATGTCTTATCTATTTATTTTTAGTGCATTTTACTTTACTAATTGATTTATTTGTGTTTCTAGGACTGAACTTTTTCTGAACAGAATTTTGTGTTTTGAACTGACGATGGAGCTGGACTCCGAAACGTTTTCTCTTATAAAGATATGGTGAATTTTTGTGGTATTTTTTTGCTTTTAAATTCCTGGTTAACTTTTTATTTAATCTCATGACAGCTTATTCTACCATAGAAATTTATTATTTTAAATCATTCAAAATTTTGCTACAGAAGAATATTTTCATGTAATGCTAGGCCCGATAGCTAGTAAATCAGACGTAGCTTATCCTACCAACGATCCAAAGAAGGCTTGGCTTGCAAATGCTCACACATTTGTGTAGAATATTAATACCATCCTTATTATCTTAACCACTTTTTTAATGATTTTCTTTGTTTAGAATGGACTGCATACCTATAGGCAGTGCAGTCCATTGTTCTGCACTCCAGTATGGTGCAATGCATGGCAATCCAGGTGCAATGCAATGCTGTCATTTACAAATGCTGTAATGAATTGTGCTTTCACTGGTAGCGCTGGTGAGAATGAATGAGTGGTGATAATTTGGTACGAATGAGTGGTTCAGTATGATAATAGTTCAGTATGTCAGTCAATCCATAATTTAATATCTCAGTCTTGACATGTGGTCAAGGTTGCTGATTTATTACACCAAGAATATGAAACAATCATTTGAAATTTTACTGGGGTTTACATATTGTGCCAACATGAAGTTGACTCTTAGCATCATCCTTGTATTAATGTGTTTTTTTGCCAAATAGGTAGCCAAACTTTGCAGTTACATGCTGATCAAGTCATATTTTGATGAAAAGCTGGTTGATATCTTGTTTAAATAATTTCAATATTCTTAATAAATGAATCCTAAATGATACTATCTATAAATAATTTTTGTTTTATGGTTCTCATTCTGTACTTTTATCTTTTTTATTTAATTTTTCAGTTGTATAATAATTCTATATTAGCTAATTTATTTATGCAGGTTGCAAGTCACAATCAGTTCATAATTTTGTAACTACTACTTCCCTTTTATCATTTCATCTTATTTCAAATGGCAACTGATTCAACAAATTATAATGATGAAGACATTGATTACCTTCTACCATCTGAATTGGCACGGCTTGTTCTGGGTGAGTTTTTTTATTGCTTTTGTCAATATAACACAATCATTTAAATGTGTTGTAATAAAATATGAATATATTAATTTTAAATTGTAAAACATAAAAAGAGTATATATTAGAGTTGTGTAAGCATTTATAGATTATATATATATATATATATATCTGTAAATGCTCCCATTTTGAATCAAAATTAAGCTAATTGTGAGACTGATGATCATGCATGTTTTGGGATTGCCCACCGTCATGTTGATGTTGAGGGAGAGTCTCGTGAAGGAGGTGAGGTTAACTTGTTCCTGTACTCTGTTGCCAGCAACCAAGTTAGCATTGGAAAATAAAAGAGTTGTGCTAATTGGTATAATTATTATTTTTAAATGGCTTTGTAATTTCAGACTGGGTGTGGAAATAAAAGTTGGGCTTTGCAACTTGGAGGTAAAGCAACTTATCAAAATAAGACCATTTGCATTATTGGTCTGGCACTAATTAGAAATGTCTAAATAAATGTCTGTGGAAGGAAGAATTAACCCCTTTTCCCTCACCCTGTTTTTTCTACAAATAACATAAAAAATAAGGTAATTTATCTAATCTCACTATATTCTATCTCCTGCTGTCATGTTTTATTTACAATTTAATCATGATAATTTGTTCAGGTTATCTTGAGAGACGTGGATGCACTGAAGCTGCCAAGAAAATGCTGGAAGAACTCCCAGAGCTCAGCGAGGTTGCCAACCTCAGGAAGAAGAATCGCAGAGTCCTGGGCAGAGTCTGGCAACTCACTTTAACAGAGGCACTTCTTGACTACTCATACTCCAGGGAACTTGGTAAGAAAACCTTGAGACAGCATCACTTTGCCCCAAGTATTCTGGAAAACTTGAGTGTTTCCCTCTGTGATCAATTTCTCATTTGAATTTGGTGAAATTATTTGACAAGTTTATCTTATATTTAGTTGTGTGTACATGTGTCCTGAAAGTTTATTTAACCTTGGGCAGTTCGACGTATATCGTCCCAGAACTCGCACATGTTAGGTCATTTGTTGGACAGCAATTTGCTGAGTGAGCAGCTGAGGTTCCTTCTTTCTGCCATCACTGAGAGCAAGAAAATGAGTCAGGTTAGTTTGGACAGTAGTCAAGAATACGGTATTATTGCTGAACAACCACAATAAATTGTTCATTCTTTCTATTTACTATATGTATTGAGTCATAGGTTTGATCAAGGAAGCTTAGCTTCTTGATATGAACTTTTTTTAAATTGAGTTGTGTTTCTATGCTGCCATTTATGTTGTGCTTTTTGTTATAAACTTTTCCCAAACATTTTGTGTGGAATTTTGAGTTGTATGATATGATGGCCATTTTAGATAGGTACCGGTATGCTTACAGGAAAGATTGCTTGAATTTTTAGGTTATCTGCTTTCAATATACATATATATACTGAACATTAATCAAATGTACCTGGTATTTGTTTGTATTGACAGTTGTGTGCTGAACAGAAAAAACGTATGAGGCCAAGCATCATTTCTGAGTCATCAGCTAATGCTAAGAAGGCAATGATTCGAGATCCTTCTCCATCTCCCCTTTTTTCTGAGTCTGAGACTCTCTCACTCCAAAAAGCTGCTGGTAAGTCAGTAATTGTCTCTAAATTACAATAGCAAAAAGCAATTTGATTTATGCTTGAAAATGTCAATCAAATGAGTGTGAATTGTGTATAGAACTGTCTCCATTGGCATCATCATGGAATTGTACTGCAATTTTGGTCAAGCTTCTTATGGGGTTTGGTTGCTACTTTCATCATTATTATTGGTTGGTTATAATGGGTTTGGTTGCTATTTCTATTCCATTTATTATTTGGCTGTAAATTGTTGTTGAAATTGATCAAATACATTGAAGTAACATGATTTATGTAATGATTCTACTGTCTAATCCTTTATATCACAACACCTAATTGCATGTATAATATCTCGCTCCAAACTCTCATTGCAATAATTGGCAGAGTAAGCTATAATTTAGTAGTATATAAGATGACATATCTTGTCACTCATAACATTGATAATGAATCATCTCAGCCTTTGTGTTGAGTGTAATTAATTAATAATTTGTGTTGAATGTGTTGAAATAAACACATTCAACAAAATAATGTGTTGAAATTAATTTATTATTAATTAATTTATTTATGAATAAATAAATAATTTATGAATTATTTATTATTAATTAATTAATAATAAATAATTCAACACAAAATAATTTGTGTTGAAATAAACTCTAGAGCCTGTGGAGGATGTAGCATCACTGCCAGAGAGTCAGCCAGCTGCTGCTGAGACATGCAGTACTGAGCGCTCATCCCCTAAAAGGAAAGGGTGAGTTCATTTTTATGAATTCATATTAAAATTTCATTTTAATATGAATACAAAATTCATATTAAAATCAAATCAAATATGTGGTTTGATAGGAAATTCAATTAAATCAAATAATTTCTGTGCATCATTCAAAAAAATTTGTGGTTTAAGAAATCTCAGTACAAAGTGTTGAAAGAGAAGAATTGCCATTTTTAGCGCATTTTCTCATTTATGGAAAAAATGCACTATTGTGCTCGCCATGTCCATCTGTCTGTCTGTCCGTCCGTCCGTGACCTCAAGTTTTCGTCGACTAGAAAATGCGCTCTCTGTCACTCACTGCAGTGAGTACTGAGTTATACTTTTTCAGTCAATGCTATGTATGTAGCATTGAAGTAACAAGGAAAGATAATGTATGGGATTTAAACTCCTATATTTTAATTTTTAGATTGTTTCCTATACGAAAATTTAAAATTGAATGTAAATTTTTAAATACTCAAAATATCACTTTGAATCAAGCAGTTAACCTTATAGATAGTGATTTTTGCACACACATTCCTGTAATGATGAGCTACCTACTGCCAGTAATTTGATTCATAATTATAAAAGGCCATGTATATGATTTTAGCAAATCGTCTGACTTCTATTTATTTTTGACAGATACCACGCCAGAAGGAGACCAACAGAGAGTGACCGTGCCTCTATATTGAAGGAGGTAAGTAAACGATTGAGATTTGAATCTGTACATTATTAATTAGTTTATTGATGATTTGAATTGAAATTTTCTGTTGGAATGAAAATGATAATTTTTGAATTTCCGTGTGGGTGGTCGTTTGAGTGTGCAGATATTCTCTTATAATTTTTTAAACACTTTTGAGGCAAAAATAGATGTGTGAACAAGGACTGATTTGACATTTTGGGTGCTAAATTTCAAAGCGAATCCAAGTTCTAATGTATTGACTTTGATACTTCAATTACTACCTACTTATTTACATTAAACAGTATCAAGAGCAGCTGACCGAAAGCATCCTGAGCAACACAGCTTTCCATGAGCATTTTGCTGCTGCCATCAACAAGACCCTTGCCCAGCAAGGTGCTGCTGCGTCAGGAGAAACCAACACTCATGTGGTCGCCAATGAGATGGCTTCTCATGCTGAAGCACAGAATTGTCAAGACCTGCCTCCCGACTTCCCGTCAAACATAGCTGAGACAGTCAGCAAAATGATTATGGATGATCCGAGTTACCAGGATATGCTATTTTTTGGCGCCAGTAAGTTGTGAGCATTAAGAAATAAAACAGGGATAATTGGATTAATTTTAATGTACTGTAACATGCAGTCAACAATTGTTTGTTTCTAATAATACGTACTATTGTACTCAGCATAACTTTTCTCTGCTTTACCCAAATCCAGTATTATGTTGCGTATTTTTCATTTTATTGTATTTTATGTATTGAATGTTTTTCATTGTATTGTATGTGAATGAAATTTATGCTTCTGAGGCATTATCATTTTATCTCACAATTTCATGCTCTAGTGTACATTTATGTGAGAAAAGTATTCCTTTTGAACGTACAATTTTTACACTAAGCGGCAATTTTTACACAGCAATTTTGGCAATGAGTAAATCTTATTTTTAAATGCTAAGTGAAATTTTCTCCCCTAAGGACCTTCTGGAGATATCATCTCTTCAGGGACAAACCTATGTGCTGGCGATCAGAACTCCAGCGTCGCTTCTGCAGGCGGAACGGGGCGACCGCTGTCAACGCCTGAACCTCAGTTCAGCTACGCGCAGCTCACTGAAGATGAGAGGAGACGTGACCAGGAGATACACGACATCTTAAACGGCACCTCTACCGGGACCGAGCATTATGTTGCAATGGATACGCACGGTAAAGCAATGCTGTTCCTACCAAGGTTTCCAAGAGATGTTTCGGATTTTGCCTGGGATGGATGGTTACTGTAGGATCAATGCTGTTTCTGCCCAAGGTTTCCAAAAACTTATCAGACTGTTGCCTAGCATGGATACTTCTTGTGTTTAATGCGAGGAAAAGAATGTGTCATTATGATTGCTTAAACCTGAGCATTATTAAATTTGCATCCTTAGTACAAGTTTTTTTTGAGTATCAACAATGTGTTGGTTGATAGCAATTGGCAGCTTTTACATTTTGTAACAACATTGTAACGTCCATGAATTATCAGTTATGCCATTTTATCGATCTAATGCGCTAACAGGTATATTTTAGTAACTGAACTATTTTACCCAGTTATAAATGAAAGTTTTTATATTTAATTGTTGATTGATGACAGACGGGCAGTGTGCAGAGCAGACCGTAGTACCAGCTGCCCAGCCGTGTTCTCCTCACGGTCTACAAGGTTCTCTTCCTGGGTAAGTTTCAGCTAGAATTAATTGTGATCTGCGTCACTGCAAAGAGTTCAGTGGTGAATTCAACCCTCGTAAAGCTGCATAATTTTGAAGCGTGGCAATCGCACCCAAGTGTTGTGTACCAGCTGCCCAGCCGTGTTCTCCTCACGGTCTACAAGGTTCTCTTCCTGGGTAAGTTTCAGCTAGAATTAATTGTGATCTGCGTCACTGCAAAGAGTTCAGTGGTGAATTCAACCCTCGTAAAGCTGCATAATTTTGAAGCGTGGCAATCGCACCCAAGTGTTGTGTATGAATTATGCAACCCATAAAGCGGTTAAAAATACAATGTGTACCATAGGAAGTGAATAGTAATTAGTAAAAAATTCAAACACTGTTATGAAAAAAATATTGAACCACTGGTGTGTAATTAAAAGTTTTGCCGCTTCACAAAACCTATGCCTTGACCTGGTGGATGCTGCTTTAGATGCTATAATTTGGGTTGATGTAAAATTTGCCCTAATTTCCGGTTCAATTAACTTCTACATTGCCTTTCATTACTTTTCAATATTTGTATATATGAATTTTTATTATTTTCAGGTCGTCGGTGATACCGGAGTGCAGCTTGTATAGCACAAACTGTGATACTGCGTACCAAGCCAGCATGCCACAGGCCACAAATGCACCGCTCGCCAATGTGCAACAAACAACCTTCCAACAATCAGACATTCAGCAAACGACTCAGAATCAAACTAATTTGCAGCAAACGAACTCTAGTTTCTCTTGCTCTCAACAATTAGGTACGCAAGAATCTAACATCCAGAAGGATGGCCAACAGCTGGAGGGATACGAAGCACAAGGGGAGACGCCTGCAGTTGAGCCACCGCCCAAGGTCTTCTCCATTATTAGTGACAGCATCCCGATGCTTGACAACACCGGCAAATATTCACAAAAACCGGCAGTGTCTGAGCCCCGCATCACTCCTCCAGGCGTGTATTAACTGTTGCTTACCTCACTAATTTGGTTGTTCCCGTGTCAAAGTAGTCATCGAACAAATTTGTGATGATTTTTATATTATCAAGATGCCACTTCTGCTTCTAGCATCCATTACATTTGTTAATTTTGATATATTTTCATACGAAAGTTTTGTGTTGAGTCTCCACTGATATTCAAAGTGAAGGATTTGGATGATGGTGCGAACTAGGATTGACGATTTCAACACTGTTTTTCAATTAATCATCCTATACATGCGTTTATTTGTGTTTCGCATTAATTGCGTCCACATGTTTCTTTTAATATGTAATTATTGAGTTAGATAGTTACTTAACTATTGAATAAGTCTGATAGTTTCATAGTAACTCTAGATGAAATAAGGAGTTCTGGGATTATCGTATTTGTTTTTTATACATAAAATTTTGTGAAATTTTCTTACTATTTGCACATTTGTAGGTATGGTGGCCGTGCTTGAGATTCCCCCCATGGTCAAAGGTGAGCGTTAATGTTTTAGCTTTAATTAATTAGATTCATTAGCAAATTATTTAATCCACTTTTATAATTGCAAGACCTTATAGCAAATTTCTTATTTATCTATCCTTGAGCATGCTAATTAAATTAATCTGGGAAAACTTGAGTAAACCCTTAAGATGGATTTTATAGTTTACGTGGACCAATATCATAGTAAAATATCTCTGAGGCTGGCGCTATAAAGGGCTGTCTAGATTATTTGTCAACTATTGTTCAAGAGTTACATGTCTGTATTACATGTTTTGTGCCTTGTGTGAAATAGTGTACGTGTTCTTTCAACTCTCCCATAAATTTAATTGAAACATATGTTGAAGAAAATTCCACTAATGAAGATAATTTTCTTAATGAATTAAAGCAAATGCAATACATATTTTTGAATTGCTAATTAATAAGTTATAAACACATTGTTTACACAGAGGCTCCAGTGACACTGGCTCCAAAACCCATTGACTGCAGTGAGTATTTATTGTGGTATTTCTTAGGCTGAATAAGTCACATTCAAAAGAATATCTTACAAAGCTTTTACATTACAAATAAATTGTAAATTTTCACGCAACCAAATTTTCTAAACATCATCTATATGCAGTTTGGCCTTGCTGTTCCCAATAATATGATATTTAATGATAGAAGCCGTTTTACTATGGGTCTTTTGGTCAGGATAGAATTGACTAATAGAACTTTACTTTTTCAGTCACAGGGGCTATATAGTTTCTGCATTAATTTTACTTTGATTAGGATTTTCTGTTTTATATCATGAATTTGTGTACAAGGCTCAGGTTGTCACTGATTTCTACCAATGCTTAATGTCCTATATACTGCTTATGTCAGGATTCAGATTGAAATTTTATCCATAACTCTGTAAACATTTCTCACGTTCCAGGTATTATAACTCATCCCATGACCGTGACGCTCCCCAATCTGGTATCTATCAGCGTGGGATCTAGAACTGTGAAACTCTCAAGTCGTCAGAGAAAAAATAAAGCTGCTAGCGAGACCTCCAACGCCATGCCTGTGAAGTCAAGCGCAAGTGCCTCCAGTTCCAATGAAAAGTTACCACAATCCACGGCTGACAATCAAAGCTCATCAAAAGAACGCGCTAGTCGAGCTTGCGCAAGTAAAAAGAAAACTGTTCCTGTTATTGAATCTACCGGTGTGTCTCATCCAGAAGTCCTTGATAACACTGCTAAAGAAGCACATTCTGGCGTCAAAGCAACTTCTGGTACTTGTTTGTCTGAATCTCAAGATGAAAATGTTGGTGATGGGGCCAGCAATGCAATGGAAAATGTGCTTGACAAGTCGTCTGCAGTCTCACTTCGTGCCAGCAAACGTCTAGAAAGGAAGAATCAAAAAGAAGGTTCTGCTCCTAGAACTATATCCGATAAGAATCCAGCTTCTTCACCTTCGAAAATTTCTGTGGACTCGCGACCTAAACCAGTTGAAATTGTTAATTCAATTGAGCCTCGTCAGTTGAGGTCGAGAGCAGTAAAACATCCTCTCCTGGATGCGGCAGCTCAGCCTGCAAAAAATAGTGCGTCAGCTCTCAAGTTGCCTACAGAAAATGTTCAGGAGACTGCCATGAATAGAGGCTGCCAAAGCACGCCAAGCTATAAGCGACGGCGTAGCCACGTCAGGGCACTCGATTTTTGTACTCCGAACAAATCTCCGGTCGCTATTATGGATGTTCTGCCATGCCACATGCAGCGAAGCTTGTTTGGCTCACCATCGCCTGACAAAAACAGTTTTAAAATGTCAAAGCTTTCGCGTGAGTTGAGCCCCACACGGGAAAAGACAGCATTGAAAAACTTGAGCGCCATTGCAGAAGAGACTTCAGTTTTAGTGTCGGAATCTGTTTCTGACTCTCCTTCTCCTCGAGGTAGTAAGAAACGCCGACGTCTTGACACCTATGAGGAAGAAGGGAAACTTAACGTGTCTGCTGATGGAGAAAAAATATTATCGATGCCTCGCCTGTCCTTCTCACCAACGTCATCTCTTGGTTTGAACAATTTTGATTCAACCAGTAGCACACACCATGAAACCAACGCCATGGGAGCTGATACCAGCTGCTGTTCACCTAACTCCGACGTTTTACCTTCGTTGATGTCTGATGCACTGAAAACGCCTTTTAAGATATCCGAAGTTAGCCTGGAGGCTCCCACTCCAATCCATCAGAGTATTCCGAGCACTAGTAAGAAACTAAGTGGGGTCGGCTATGATCTCAATACTCCGTTACCCAAGACGTTTCCACCTTTCTCTCCATGCCCTAAGGTTTCTTCAGGGAAAAAAGACACAACAGTAAAGCAAACAAATCAAGAGAAAGGTGCCAATCACGTCCCATCTCGCACCGATGTTTGTAAGGATGGCGATTCTGCACTGACCAAAAATGATGCAAAAGAACTGGGTCGAAATCGAGCTCATGAAGAACTTAACGATAATCAAGACCAGCCAGAAGATCTGCCAGTCATGTCCCCGACCACAATGGGTCTTTTCCTGGAACGGGAGCTTCAGAAAAGCATTGAAAAAAAATCTTGGTTGGGAGTTGACGAGCAAAAAACAAATCTCTCGCTAGAAGATTCAATAAATTGCTCCCCAGGTCGCTTGCATGATCTGCCAAGTGAGGCTCATGTTGCATTCGATGCTATCAGCAAGCAAGCTTCAGCTGATCACAATACTATGCAGCCGGCTTCATCAGTTCTCGAATCACTCAATACCCCCTTAAAAGCGCAGTCCACTTCCATGGAGATAATGCTTTCTCTCCCTGAGTGTAAGGAGGCGATCATAGGCCAAAACGGCAGCAATATTGATGTGGTTGATGATGGTCTTTCTTCACGCGCTGCGCCCACGCCCTCGATTCGGCCGGAGTCGAGTTTAATTGACCTTGTCTCTAGAATTGAACACGGTGACTTTTCTGCTGCTGAAACCATCCTACAGAAAGAAAATCATGAATTAAAAAGTCGTAAGTCGAAGAGAAACAAAAATAAAAGAAGCGATGGCAAATCAAAGCATGAGCCATGTTCTTCGGCGATACTAGATGATGTAGTTGAATTGCAGCAAAACGAGCGGGCTCCTAAAACCGAATACGTGAGAGCTTCTAGACCTGAAGGGACTGCATGTGACTCGCGTGAAAATGTGTTGACAGACCTGATCCGAGAAGAAGTATCTAATGAACAACACGCTTCTCAATGTGGTCTGGTTAGTGACAAATTAGAAATTTCTAAGTTGGGGATGCTAGCGCCGGAAGCCGGATTGTTAGAGAAGCCAGTACTTTCTAAAAATCCGTCTAATCCTTGTAACCCTAGCGATAGAGCTACATCTGGGTCTATGTTTGACATTTCGGAATCGTCAAGTTCTCCTGAAGTTCCCTGCAAGAAAATGTGCACTGTAGCCTTAAACGCTGTTTCTGCTGACTCTCATGTTTTGAAGAACTCTTCGCCTAAACAAAGCAGTTGTCGTGGCTCATTGGAAGAAAATTTACATCTGGGCAAGACCCATAGAAGTAGCAAATTGGATAATGGAACTTCAACGAATGAAGGTGCCCATTCTAAAATGAGAGGTAAATCAAAAGTTGCTCTCAGAACGGCCAATGACCAAGTCGGAACCAGTCTGGATTTTACTACTAAAGATGGTATCCGAGTGTTTGCAGCGCAGGACAAAACGCCTAACGGTTGTTCAGAAAGAAGAGGATCAAAAAAAGCCGCTAGCAAAGTTGAATACTTGGAGAAAACAAAAAGAAATTTATCGTCGATAAACGCTTCACCGCCTACCAGTTGTAATGATTCACTAACAAAAAGTGAACCTGCTTTACCGAACATTCAATTAGCTGCTTGTCCTGAATCAATTCTTGACGAGCTACCATCAATATCTCAAAGAGGCGAAAGTAATGTTGAGCCGAGAAATTCTATTGAGACTCAAACCAAAAGTTATTCAAGAACAATTCCACCCCAACCGGCTCATTTGGGTTCATCAGACAAAGAACTCCCGAGAACCCCTCACCATTCCTCCAAACATGAACACCGCGGCCCTCCAATGACGCCAGCTGTAAAGCGACTCATTCACACTCTCTTCGATTCGCCTAAAAAAAGTCCTTGCCTCCATTCTTCTTCAGCATCCAGCCATGCTGAACTTGCCCCTGCTTCTCCTGACGTATGGGAGAAGTGGACGACTGTTTTATCATCTGGTGATGCGGACGGGTTCATTGTCGGCGGTGATTCTGCTCAAGGATCCCAAAGCAAGAAATGCCACCAGGACCAATTGAAAGATTCAGCAGCTTCCACATCTTCTTGCCCTCCTCAGGAAACAGGTGCTAGAAGAAACAGTAATGCTTCAAAACCGTTTAGTGATTGTCAAAAATCACAACAAACTTCCAATGATCCACTTTCTTCCGTGGATCGCGTGCCAGAGACAAGTTCTCTGCGGTCATGTAAGAAAAATAAATTAGTTGGCAGGGGTAACGATGGTTCCTCCTCCACTCGGCCTTTGCAGTCGCCCTCCACTCAGCCTTTGCAGTCGCCCTCTACTCAGCCTTTGCAGTCGCCTTCCACTCCCCCAGTTGTAAAAAAACTGCAACACACACTGTTGGGAAACTCCTCTCCATTGGTCTTGGGTGAGTGTCGAGTCACTTTTTATTATTATTTCGCTTTGTATTTCTTAATTATCAAGTCTTACTTTTATTTTTAGTCGTCGCTAATTTTTAGTGAAAATGTTTTCCTTGGAATCATAAGTAACCTTTTTATTGGCCAACCTTTTTCCAACAGCCCCGCCGCCAAACTCGAGGACTGTCGGTTACTCTTCTGGCCGCGCAGAGAGAAACTGCAACGACGACGACCTGAGCGACTCGTACGTGGAACTTGACAGCAAACTTGCCATGCTAGATGGCGGTTACTGTTTAAGCTCTCCCGATCGCCATGCCGGCCCAGGAAACCCAGTGGCAGACGACGTCGATGCACCTGAGCTGCTCTGCCAGGAGAAAATCGCTGGGTCTGCTCAGAATTCAATCAATCAGTGGCTCAGATCAATTGTGACCGCGCAAGGAGATGGTAGTAGTAAAACAACTAATAAGCAACGGATGGCGTCATTCAAACCACTGCCAGCCACGCCTGAAAAAGAGATGAGGAAAATTTGCCGCTCTATGATTAGGGATGATCAGGGAGCCATGGTTGCGGTCCCGTCGTTCCAACTTGACCGGGATTGTGGTCTTGGAAATACATCAAATTATAGTCAGGCGCAGAATCAATTTGTTCAAAGCACATCTCTTGAGCCCAGCAATGACAATGAGTCATCTCTGAGACCAGATGCCAATAAATCGAATGAAGCCAGAACAGAAGTGGGAAGGAATTCATGTGAGGAGCTATCTGATGATCAACAGATACAAATCCGCCTCAAATTATCGGAGTTCTTCCATGTGCTAGAATTGAATCTTGATGGTCCAAACTCTCATTTTTCGCCACAAACGACTTCTGTTGAACATATTTCGTGCACCCAAACGGAAAAAGCAGCAAAACCTGCTATTGAAACGAACATTCGATCTGGGAATGAGCCGCCAGCAGTTCTTAAGCAGATGGTACCAACCCACGTGATACCTGAGAGTGCCAAGCTCAGTTCGAATGGCAACTACCGTTCTGGAGGGAGCCGAGATGATGCTGTTTCATTCTCTAATGCCCTGACCTGCCATTCAGAGAAGAGGAGGACGTTTGATGGACACCGTCACACTGCTCCCGCGGATCGGGGACTCCTGGGCTATCCCGTGTTTAGGGTTGTAAAATCTGGGGAAGGACAGAGAGAGGATAAATCCCCTGAGAATTTGCAACATGAAACCACTTACCTCAATCAAAATACTCAGTCACATCCGTCATCCAGGGATGTCCCGCTGCCACGAACATCCCATTCACCGAGATCCCGAGCGTCCTCCTCGCGTCTCGTCGCACAGCGCGCTGTCGACAGCGGCGGTGGCAGCGTCCGCAGCGCCGACACTCCCAGTCCCAGTTCTCTCCACATTGTTGATTCTCCTCAATGGTCTGAGCTGTCTTCGCCTGACCTTACAAAACCCGGCGCTTCCAACTTGCCTCGTGGTCAGGTCCAAGAATTGCAGCCTCAAAATTTTAATTATTCATCTCGACATAATCCTTCTTTGGTTGAAGTTCCTTCGTGCAGTGTTCCCTAATCACACAGTCGGAATTCGGCTGCCAAATCAACACTTAATGTACATCCATTGCTAAACTCTAACGTGGGTATGACAAATTTGCGTTCATCAAACGAGAGCATTAATTCTGGTTATTCCAAGGCAACAAAATCAGTCAGGACTGCCCGAGGAGATTTATATTCGGAACAACATTTCAAGTCAAATTATGTTGCAGAAAAATCTCTAACCCGGGAGCAGCAAGAAATTGAAAAAATTCCCAGTCCCACTCACGACAAGCCATCATATACAAATCGCAGTCTTCAGTCTAAACCTCATGAGAAGGGAAAAAAGTCGCGCAATCGGGCAGGAATTGTAGCAAACGCTTTAGATTTCAATGCCCAGAGAGAGAGTACCAATAATAACGATGACGACTCATCAAAGAAGGTGAGACGAGCTCGGAGTTCAGATCAGAGAAAATCTTCAAGCGCCTCCAACATTTCAGACCCCAAGAAAGAAAAAGTTCATAAAACGCGGCGATCTAGTTCTTCTGGGTCGCGTAAGTCTGAACGAAAATCTCTTAAACATCAATCGCGTCCAGCGCAGAAGAGAGAAGCCTCCCCTTTACCTCGTGAAGAGACAAAGACTAAACGGCCCGCCACAGTGAGAGTCGGCAGGGAAGAGATGGTTAGTATAAAAAATTTAGAGTACTGTACTGATGCCTGTCTGTGGAGAGTATTGCTATACTTGCCTTGGAATCATTTTAGAATGTTTTGATAGGCTTATTTTATATCTAGATACCGTTAAGGAAAGATGATTCGTATGTATCCTTTCTTATTTTTCAGCTTTATCATACACACTTCAAGAATTGTATTCCTTTAGAGTTGGTTCTTATGAAACGTTGAAAAATATTTAACAGCAATCTAGAGTCTTATTCATTGTTCTTAAAGAGAACTAATTTGCACTCAACGAATTTATCGCCCCACTAGATTTAAAAGCCTATTTAGTATTTTCCCACCTCGTTTTTGTCGCTAATTATTCAGTAATAATGTTCAGTACGATATTTTCCAGGAGTGCGACATAACATGCGACGACTCGACGTTTCTACAAGCTCCCCTAACCCCCGGCAAGTTCTTATTTGCGTCTCCTACGCCTGCTTCCTCCACGGTATCCCATTCCCTCTTTCCTCCTCAAGACGCATTCACTCCCCACCATCGCTTCAAGAACCCTTTTACGTCCACCCCGCTTTTGGGGATGCCTGGTGAGCAATCACCTCCTGCAAATCAACGATCTATGGCAGAATTCAACTCAGACTCTTGTTCCTATTATGAGCGCCCACCTAAAACTCCAGGGGCTGATTTAGCACATTTTCAGACCAACGAAATGACTCAGGAGCTAACTGAGACTGATAAAGTAAGGATCCCTAACGATTGTGAAAACCTCCCTCAAACGGCATCCAGTCAACTGGAAAAGGCAAAGAAAAAACTGAATCAAGTTACTAAAAAGAATATCGGGGTATCGAAGGTGTCGCGAGGCAAATCCCAAGGTGACGATGCCAACAATTCGACAGCGAATGCTCAAGAGGAGTCATGTTTATCTGTCGCCAGAGGACCACAGGACAGTGACGCCAGAGGACCACAGGACAGTGACGCCACAGGACCACAGGACAGTGACGCCACAGGACCACAGGACAGTGACGCCAGAGGCCCACAGGACAGTGACGCCAGAGGACCACAGGACATTGACGCCAGAGGACCACAGGACAGTGACGCCAGAGGACCACAGGACAGTGACGCCAGAGGACCACAGGACAGTGACGCCAGAGGACCACAGGACAGTGACGCCAGAGGACTACAGGACAGTGACGCCAGAGGACTACAGGACAGTGACGCCAGAGGACCACAGGGCAGTGACGCAAGAGGACCACAGGGCAGTGACGCAAGAGGACCACAGGACAGTGACGCCAGAGGACCACAGGACAGTGACGACGCAGGACCACAGAGCGCGTTTAAGGCCCAAGGAGATATGGTTGTGAACCACAGCAGTTCTGCTACGACTTCTGTGCCTTACCCTCCTGCTTGTAACCCTCAGGAAAAGAAACCCAAGGTGCGTGGAAGGGAATTTTAATTTTACCATTTTCAATTACTGTTTATGCCAAAATTATTTAATTTGCCGTATAATGGTTTGGTATATTAGTGTAATTTATTATGAATTATTATTATTCTACAGATTGTAAAACAGGTATAACTGAAAAAAAATATTTATCCGTCCTATTTTAAATGATTGAGATATTAAATCCTGTACCTATAACATATCACCCGAAATATAGTTCATCAATGAAGTCGTATATTTTGAATGATCTGGTTGTTGAACGCAATGTGGTTGTCATTTCTCTTAATTTTATTCATATTTCACCTTTATCAGCTACAGAAATGCAGAAACAATTCCACTTTCGAATTTTAAATGTTGACCAAAAATACGTTTGGATATTTTCATTTCAAATTTTCTGCATGCTGGCGTCGATAATTCTCAGAACTGTTTCTTGCAGAAGCTGCCCTTACCGAAGAAGTCCAAGGAAGAAATGATGAAGTTCATCGAGAAGTTCCATAAAAAGAAGAAGTAGACGCTTTGGAATAGCTGCTCTCCGGTTTTGAATTCTTGAGAAGATTCAAGTTAACTGAAGTTCACATTCGTCAGCATCTGTATATTGTACCTACTTTCGTATAAAAAACGTGATATCTTCTTTCATATCTTTCAGTTTTTCATTCAGTTGTAGTTCTTCGTTAATCATTCAATAAGTAGGAAATGTAAATGGAAAATGTATTATTTCATATTCATTCATATTGCTCTGCTCTATTATTTATTTGTACGACGTTCCGAATATTGAGTCATACTTAAGGCTTGAAATCGAAATCAATTCTGTTTAGTGGTTATCACTTGCCTTGCTGTCTTCTGACATCTGGTTTGATATGGAGTGATTCGTCTCCTAGGTGATCCGTGGTAATGGATCCTAGGTAATGGAGTGATCCGTGTCCTAGGTGCCAGCCTTGAGATGCCAATTATCCTATTACGCCCTTATCCTTGAATTGCATGCCAACAGCACATTACTATGTGAATAAAATGTCAGGTGATCCCACTTAATTCCCTTGCGAAATTTGGTTATTTGTTTTTCGTTCATTATGTTTAGTGTACAAGTTTACCTCATACTAGTCATGTAGCATTTCTTCACGCTAAAAACTAAGGACTAATGTTGATAACTTACTGTATCGAGTGCCAATCTCTTAAAATAATTATCGAAGACTTGATGACTACGTTAATCAAATTGCTCTAATATCTTGACGATCAGGGCAATTCAGAATGGAGGAATAGAACGCTTATATGCTCTTGTACATTTCAAAAATCTGTTTCTTATCATGTCATTTATGTTCACCGGAATACACTTTGACATAGGTTCATGTTGAAATCAAGGAACGCAGTTACTTTTATTTTGTAGTGTGCTGCATTTTTGCATGCTAATCTTCATCTCCTGCTTGTGAGCAGCCGTCTCAAGGTGCCAACTACAGTTGCACGCTTGATGTATTTTCGTGTCGACCAGTCACGTATAAAGTCGTAAGCTTCTACATCGTTGCGCTCTCCTTTTCCCCGCCTTTTTCTGACCTCTCGTGACAACCCGTATTTAACCAAATAACTTCTTTCCTACAGAACGACTCGGCTCCTCATTACTTCACTAGTAAAGGAAGGTACGCGAGGTGTTCAACTAACTAGTATTACATCATTCGTCCTGTAACCCTTTGGTTCAATTTTGTTGTATATTTGAATTGCGCTCTCGAGTTGAAAACGTGTCGGGTTAGTTGAAGCGAGGTTTGCGGCTGCTCATGTTAACTTTGATTTACGGTGAAGGAAGCTAATTTATTACTGTAGACATCGTGAATCGTTGCTCACGGATTGTATTCTTAGAACCCCGATTAATTAAAGAAATAATCGAATTAAATGCCTTTTTGTTCCTTCTTCGGACTTACTGGCTACATCTATATGCTCTTCCGATGACTGTCCATTATATCTTTAAGGTAGAAAGGTCGGGTTTGGGAATTTATTTTATGGTTTAATTGCCTAGTTTCAAGCTAATGTGATGCGATATGTTTAAGCTTATCTGTTTGTTAGGCAGTGATCGTAAAAATAATCGTACGCAGTGGCTTGGAGGCCTGTATTGAAGTGTTAACGTTTTTAAAATTCAAAGCAGCTGATTCTAAATGCGAGTTTAAAGTCTATGACAAAATTCGACAATATCAGTCATCCAGTAAGTGGACGCATCATGCAAGCTTTTTATTCTCATCATATGGAGATTTTTGTAAAGTTATGATCTTGAAAACAATTGGTAGGCGTAAGTAAGTTCTCAAAATGTGGGGCACAGAGACCAGGCGATTGGGGTGTGAATCCCGGAAGGAAAGCTTAATCGAATCTAGGCAAGACAAATTGTATCTGGCGTCCCTACAAAAGATTTTTTGCACCTAATAATCCACAAGAAAATGTCAGTGCTTTTCCATCTTCTCGCAAATTGGGAAAAGAACATTATTCTTTGTCTACTGTTGTGCACACAATTTTTGCTAGTAGTGAAGAGAGCAACATCATTTTTATTTTAATTTCTTCAACTGTGCGTTATTTAATGTTAGCTATACAAATAAATTTTGATTTTTGATGTGCTCTTCCTTGTTTCTTAAAGGCAAAATGTGATTTCATCAATTTTGTTGTTGGCTCCTCAGGAATAACTGGCCGGTAAAATTTCCACCGATTCAAAATGGTAAAGACTGAAAATGCTTGAGAACCACTGGCGTGAAGGATAGTTCTTCTGGTAGAGGATGTTATATCCATTTTTGTGCGGAACTTTTATTCGTAAGAAATATAGCATTTATTGAGCGTAGTACTAGTACTCATTAAGCCAAACTTTAGCCTTGGTTGATACGTACAATATTGTTCTGAATTCCGCCGTCAGTGCATTTCTTACATTTCATTGAAACTACAATATTGTTGCAATCAGTCGTGTTTTTACCACGTTTTTCTTAGCTCGCTTTCGTGTCTGTGATGATCAAATATCGATATTTCACCAACTTTCCCATTAGCTAGCGCTCTGAAACTTTTAATGTAAAATATTTTAACTGAAATACAAAAGACCAAGAGAATGAAAGCAAACAGAGATCAGTAGCTGCCGAAAAATTATTTTCTACTTTTGAGTCCACATGAAAAACGTGGTCTCTAAAAATTTTTTTTATACATTTTATTCACATTTCACATGTTGCAATCAGTCACATTTTCTCGAGTTGATGACCACAGGATCGTTGCGTCGCCACAAGCTGTCATAGGACGGTAGGAGCAAACGCATCTGCCGCATTTCCTCGACCTCGAGACTTCGAGTTGAGTTAGTTCAAGTTTATGCCGCGATCGGTGAGGTTGTGTGTAGTTGTCACCTGTGTCTCGATCTGGATTGCTAGCGCTTGAAGCTTGTTTTTCCCTAGGCTATCTCTGCAACTATAAAGATGATGAATGGTTTCACAGTAATTTTGAATTCCTCCTACCGTGTCATAGTTTTACAACCAGGTTTGTAGAGGCCAACGGATTTTAACGGAAAAGCCGGAGTTGGGCACCGGGTAATTTCAACGGTATTCTGAGCGGTCAAATTCTAACCAGTGGCTGGCAACTGTCTCATCAGAGTGAACAGACTCATGCAACGGCCGTCTCTACAACTAAAATAGTCTATTGGGAGGTAATTATGTTATAACATCAATTTTATTATGCATTAATTGTTGCACCCTGTTCCTTTCTTTGCAATTTTGTACTTGTGTGGGAATTAATGACGGGACGGTAGTTTTGAATAGTTTTAGCATTTTCGAGCTTTCAGGCGATGTTTTAAGCATTTGAAAGGCATATGTGATGCAATTTACTGCTCAAAAGTTCTAAGCGATCGTGCATTCATGCTGACATGAGTATTGAGTTGTCTGCAGTGAGATTATTTAGAAAGACTTGCGAATCATAGATGTCTTATATGCAGTTATGCAGCATAGGCAAACGACTGAGACTTCTTTGTTGACGGTACCCAATTAAGTCCTATAAGATAATAAGAAGACCTGTAACCCGTAAGTATTACTGTATTACCTATCATGAATCTCAGCATCAACAGAAATAAGATATTGAACAAAATCTTGAAGTCTATCAGGAAGTTACGGATGAACTGGTTTCTAAAAAATCTATTGTTTCCCAAAATCCCAGTTCCCACTACGTACCTATATAATGAACCCCATCGCGAACACTGAAGTTGACTGAACTATAAGTTAAGTGTTCACGGTAGGCGGGTTGCCGTGAATGCTGTTCTCTGCCCCAACGAGATCATAACATCAATGCTGAAACTGCTTAGTACTTTTTTCTGCAACTAATTTTCACTGCATCTAACCGAAGTTCACTTACGTAGTTTTGCAGAGCTTGTAGGCTAGCTGGTAGAGGTAGACACTTTTGAAGTCTTAATTAAATGTCGGTTTATTGTTACCATGAAATGCGCGATCAAGCGTGCAGCGTGTAATTAGCATGGATCCGTGCCATTGTATTCAAAATTCGTAGTATGTATGTGTTCTGGACTTAGCTGTTACAGGCCACGTGTGTTCATTACCTACAAATATACATGTATAAAGAATAGTTTGTTATTCTTGCGCAATTATTTGTTTTTATATTTAGTTCAACGTATTCCTTAATAGTACATGCTACTCATTTGAATAGGTATCATATTTTTTTATGTATTCGCGAGAGCGTCGCTTAAACGCTTTGTTTCTCAGCTGCCTCTGCTCCTGTTGATGTTGTCGTTGTTGCTGTTGTCTTCCTGCAGCTGCTCTTCCGTCTTGAAGTCTGCTTTGTTTGAAATCGCTAATATATATTGCGAAAAATATGCCACTTTTAAGAAGTGGTAATATACTACTCGTGTCCTGCGGCGGACGTTAAAACGAACCCTATTGTACGCAGCACGCTGGAGTACGCACTTGAGCATCGAGTTGGTCTTGGTAAATACGTTGGTATTCATTTATTATCCATAAATAACTACACTACAGTAACACATCGACATATTGACTGCGACTTCATGAAGTTTAAGTTGATATAGAAAAGAATTTTGCTGTCAGTTTTGTATAAACTATGAAAACATGCAGTTAAGTTTTTCTTAATGAGATGCCAACTCCAAATCTGTAGTGTTGATAAGTCAATTTTCCCTAAATAATCAGAGACGAGAGAACGACACTGTCTACCGGTCAAAGTAATAATGCATCGAACTGGGCGTTCGACGTTCCTCTCGTGAAACCACGGCTTCCACGGCTGCAGAGGATGCCCAGGATTTCTCTTTTTGTTCATATGGTTTCCGGCATGGGAGGTTCTCTTTCTTCCCGCCCTCCTTGCCCTCCTGCCTTTCCGTTTCCTGGATGCCTAAGACTTGGCACTTCATTATTTCCTACACTTATTTCTATAAATATGTGCTTGAAGTTGTGTTTACTTCACGAAATGAATCCTTTTGCTGTACAAAGGTATTCGTTTCCAGCTGCCATTGAGGATAAGCTTTGAATATTTGAAAGTTGGTTGTAAAATTGAAGGCATGACTGCATTGAGGCCCTATAAATAGTAATGAGCCCAATTTATCGTACGGTCATTTAGTTTTCATTCCTATTCTTGAATTTCGTATAATGTTGTGCCTCGGCTATGGCCAAGCTCACATCGTAAAGCAAGGCGAGCTCAGCGTTAGCTTAGCGCTTCGAGGAAAAGCGTTCGTTCTGCTCCATCAATTACGCCAATTCGTCTCGAGATCTCATTTTTGCGGTTTCAAATGTGGAGGCCTCGCAATTGTCTGCTGAGGTTCAGCTCTTTGCTTAGCCCTTCCTCTTTTTGTCTATTTTCTCTCGTATTGGTTTGCTCGAATTCATCAAACTAACGGCGCGATGTAAGGCCTGTTCGTTGCGACTACAATTTTTTCCACTGAAATTTGTCATTCTGCGAATTATTTGAATGAGGGGGAAATAAATTTAACATGAACTACTGGTTATCGAGTGATATGAGTCACGTGTAAAAAATGAACGTTGTATTTTTCCTCTCATTGCGCTGTGTGGCACACACATTCCTGTCGTGCCCCCTATAAGTGCGGGGTCCTTACCCCCACCGGAGGGGGGGGCGCTGGGAACTGGTTTGGTTTCTCTTGCAAGGACGCGTGACAAGTTCGTAGTCACAGACACGTTTTGCCCTATTTATTGGTACTTCTGTAGGCCTGCAGTAATCAAAGTGTTTTTTCCTTGAACTACTGGAGAAAGTATGTGGAAAAGCAGTCAGTACAAATTTTTGAAACTCGAAAGGGTATCACGAAGAGTAAAGTTATGGGGACGACCAAAAAATATTTCATAAAATTTACTAAAATGGGTAAAAATATAATATCATTAATATGTATATATTTCTTGTATATATTATTATAAGATGGCAGAAATTTCTTGATTTTATGCGTACAATTTATGACCAGAGAGGTATGGTCATAAATCTTATATCTGCCATCTTATAATAATTTCTGCACTCATGACCCGGCAGCAGGAGGTGAAATGCGAACTGTGGGACACAGAAGTGAACTAATTCCGAGAAAAATCAACAGTAAAACCCAAAATATGAAATTTGAAGACTCAGAAAAGAAACTCAAACTGTCTCAAAGTGTTAAAAGCGAGCAACTTCGTCACAAGATTATTGATGAATTAAAAAGGCTCAATGAAACCCGTGATAATATCAAACTCCAGACTATATGCAGCAACGACCACTGCAAGAAAGGATTTCTCCATGAGCCCGGTGTAGTCTATAAATTTTGTATCAAAGAAGGTTGTAGACTTCTTCATCTTTTGGACTGCATTGGCGTAATTGGACTAACAACCACGATATTGAATATTACAAACAAGCAACTTCATCTCAAGATCATTGATGAATTCAAAAAGCTTGGTGACGCTTTTGACCACAACGTCAAACTCCGGACTATGCGCAACAATGGACCCTGCAAAAAAGCGGGAGCTCTCCTTGAGGCCGGTGTAGTTTATAAATTTTGCTTCAAAGAAGGTTGTAGACTTCTTCATTATTTGAACTACATTGGAGGAATTGGACTAACAACTGCGACATTGAGTATTATAAACAAGCAGCTTCATCTCAAGTTCATTGATGAATTCAATATGCTTGACGACACCCTTGACAACAACGTCAAACTCCGGACTATACGAAACAATGGCCCCTGCCAAAAAGCTCAAGTTCTCAAAGAGGCCAGTGTAGTTCATAAATTTTGCTTCAAAGAAGGTTGTAGACTTCTTCATCATTTGGACTACATTGGAGTATTTGGACTAACAACCACGACATTGAGACCGTCTCACCTGTCATCTTCAACCTGGAGGGCAGAGAAGCCCCCTGAGACAAACTCACAAGACTGTCGCTCGCACCGTGCTGGAGAAACCCACCAGCGTCATCATGCGGAGGTGCACAACATTAATCGACCAACGATTGCTGGAACCGTCTTAATTTTGAATTGGACCCCAGCTATCGATTTCCAAGCTACCGGATTTGTCTAAAATAAAATTTGAGATTGTTTGCGTAAGGACTTTCTGGCTCGAAATTTTTGTGTTGTATCCTATTTACGTGTATTATGTACTTATGTCCAACCAAATTTCACTATTCAATGCTTCTCTTAACTTGAAAATGAATGTTGCTACATTCGAAACGTCGTTAATATATTATTATTAGCTAAATCTGCCTTTTGATCTACCAACGTCATCTAAGAATTGTTCAACTCCTTGAAAATTAAAATGCACTCTCTGGTCATAAATTGTACGCATAAAATCAAGAAATTTCTTGTATATATACATATACATCTTGCTTAAAAATATAAATTCTTGAAAAAATATATTTGTTTATCAACTATGTTCGTTTTTACGCGAAATTCCGTTTATATTTTTTGATGCAAGCCATATGTAAGGACTGGTGGTCTTGAATCTGTTCGCTTGCGTCTACCGGTCAAGTGATCATCTTCTGGAATAATTAACACTATTATAAATATCTAAATTTCAAGGAAAAAGTAAGTAAGTTGTTTTGAGCGTTTTTAATTTATAACCTAATTACCTAATGAAATGAGTAACGCACTGAAAATAGGTGTTGTGTCATAAAGAAATTTTATATCTAGTTGGGGTTCTAATGGAAGTTCTATTGCGAGTTTCTGTGATATGAATTTTGATTAATTAATGTTCAAGGCATACGCTTATATTTAAATGAATATTACGATGCAAAGACTCGCCCGTTTCGTTCGCTACTGTAGACTCAATCAAAAATACCTTACGGGAACTGCAGGTTAATCATTAATATTAGTAATGAAACTCATTTTATTTTTCGCTGACATAAATATATTTTTGAGACTGATGGTAAATAATTGTACGGCTTTTGTACAAACGTGTTGGCGATTGTTTACTGAGGCTGTGAAGCGCTTCGACTGCTCGTTATGTTCTTGTTTGCACTGTCGAGGCTCGTGACGCCGTGGCGGCGGTCGGACGTGCTCGCCAGGCAGTCGCTGCGTTTGTCTGCGTGCCTTGCGCGGCGTCGGTCTGCGAGTGCTGCGTCATTGGCCGACGCTCAGGCTTCGAGGAACTCGTAAATTTGTGGCCGTACTATCAAAAATTGTCACGAGAACGTTACTTCTTCACCTAATCACTGACGGATTTTCAAGCTAAACCT